AGTTTCGAACCGCTGACCTTAAGGTTTGCAGCCGGATTCGTAACCACTACGCTACCAGAGCTCCTTAGCATCACACTAGGACTTCATTATTATCTATAAAAACATTGCTGTATTTAACTTTTCTCAAATTATTCTCAGTTCATCTAATATCACTTAGCTTTAATTGAAATTGGAAAAACAACTTAATCATTTTGAAAAACAACAGTTATCTACCATAAACAATTTTGAGATCATTTAATGGGTTTAATCAAAGAATGCTTTCATTGGATAAGGGTTAAACTAATCTGCATTTGTGTCTGGGGGGGGTTGTGGGGGGGAGTACAATATACATTTGGGGATGACATGGCTCTGTAGAATAAACACTGGGCTGCTAATCACAAGGTTGGTTCTTCAAGCCCACCAGCTGCACTGGGTGAAAAAAATGAAGCTTTCTGCTTCCATAAAGAAATAAAGCCATGGAAACGCTCCACAGAATCACTGAGTTGAAATCAACCTGACAACACTGAGCAACAACAATATGCATTTACACATTTTTTGCATTTCCAGGTAAGTTGTTACCCCTATTGTAAAACATCACCTTTTTTGTAAAGCAATCAATAAAAGCTTCATTTTCATAAAGTGGCTCTGTGCAGTCATTGGTCATTGCAAACTCAGTAAAACAGCAGATGTCAGATGAAAAATCTTGACTGAGCAGCCTTAAAACACTGAAAGGTGTTTATTGGAGTCCTGGTGTGGCGCTGGGGGTTAATGCACCAGACTGCAAAGCCATTTGAACTGCAAGGTCGGCGGTTCAAGCATACCAGCTGCTCCTGGAAAACTCTATACAAGGGTCGCTATGGGTCAAAACCAACTTGACAGCACTTCACAACAACAACAATGCCTGCAAAGCCATGGAACCTATTCCTTTTAATCCTGCTGCTTTGCCCACATTGTAATGTTAACTCGACACACTTGAAACATTCTACGAAGAAGAGAGCATGTCTTATTTTAAAATTAAAAAAAAAAAAAAAAAAAAAAAAAAGCTTAATTCTTGGTTTGCCCTACTGAATTGCAAACAATTTTGGAAATGTCTGTGGTGTCTAAGATAAGTTCCCATTTTCTTATTTTAGCTGAGTTTATTTGTTTTAGTCTAATATAAACTCACTACCATCCAAGAGCTCTGGTAGCGTAGTGGTTACGAATCGGGCTGCGAACCTTAAGGTCAGCGGTTCGAAACTACCAGCTGCTCCGCGGGAGAAAGATGAGGCTTTCTACTCCCGTAAAGATTTACACCCTCGGAAACCCTGTACAGGGTCGCTATGGGTCGGACCCGACTCGACGGCACTTAACAACAACAACAACAACCATCCAGTAAGTTCTGACTCATAGTGACCCGATATAGGGTTTCTGAGACTGCAAATCTCTACGGGAGGAGATTAACTTCATCTTTCTCCAGAAATGGAGTTGGTGAGTTTGCATATTTTTTGTGTGCAAATAAAACACAGTTGCATAAGTAATACACTGGACTGCAAAGTTGGTTTGAACTGCAAGGTCAGAGGTTCAATCTCACCAGCCACTCCTCGGAAACCCTATACAGGGTCATTATAGATGGGAGCAGACTAGATGGCGCTTAACAACAACAACATCATAGCAGTGAGAGTAAAATAGACTTCACTTGCAGCTTTGAAGGAAAAATTTGTGTAAAACCCCTTTGATATGGGAAACTCAAACTCGGCATTGATAAAATATATATCTTGCTTTGGCCAACAGATGGTTTATGACTTTCACAATGTTAATTCAATTTTTCTTGTCTTTAAGAATTAATAAGGCTCATCTGCAATATATGGACTCTTGCTGTGGTACTGGGATTAATGGGCTGTATTGGGAAGTCAGCTTGAACTGCAAGGTCGGCGGTTCAAGCTCACCAGCTGCTTCTTGGAAACCCTTTATAGGGTCGCTTTGGGTCATAACTGACTTGATGGCACTTAACAACAACAATGTGTAATTTATGAGAGGTATAAACACTACGAATACTGAAGGCCTTAGAAAGAATCTGTGGGTCCAAGGAAATGCTTAAGAAATTCTATTTTGTATAAAGGCTGCACAAAGCCAAATTTGGACATAGCTGGGAATGAGAAGGAAATTCAAATGAATAAAGTCTGGCTAAATATTTTCGGCCACCTTTCCCTTCTATCTTTTTCCCTATTGGACAGCATTCTCAAGGAGCGCCTCTTGCCTTGTCTCTCACAGCTGGAAAGGGTGGTGGCAGATAAAGAAGCGATGGAGAGCCACTGCTGGACTTGGTGGCAAAGTTCACAACACTGGTGCTGTCCAGCAAGCCAGTGGGGAATTCATCCAACTTACTGGTTATTCTGGGAATCCTGATCTGTTCACTGCTGGTTCCATCCCCTCCATCTGTCGTGGCCTTAACTTCAATAATGTAGTCCTCTTTAAGGGGTAGCAAAAGCTCCGCGGATGTGATATTTGTGCTCAGTACCTGGGCATTGTGTTGACTGCTAGTCCTATAGAAAACCTACAATTCAGGAACAAATAACACCTATTACATGCCTCGCTTTTTTCACTCTGTAGCACTTATTTATCCCTGTACGTTACATTTATTTATTGTGCCTTTCAATACCCACTAGAATATAAATTCCATTCCCAGTTCTGACTAACTACGGATTAGCACACAGTAGAGTTAATAGGCTTTCACATTCAAGGCCTTGTGGAGAGAGAACTTTCCTGAAGGAGTTCTGTTGGCTTGGGGATTTGTAAGGCTGAAAATTCAGAGCAGGATCATACTGACTGGATCTTGATTTAGAGCCTAAGAATTAGAGCTAATTATTTTTAATTGTTTTTCTTTAAATAGCATATAGGTGAGCTTCAGCACTCACAAACTGATTGACTTAGTGAACAATTCAAAACATTTTGTCCCAAACCCCCAACATTCGCAGACTGGTCTCAATATATACTTAAGAAATTATTTTGGGAAAATATCTTTAAATAAAAATAAGAAGCTTCATATCTGTATTCCAAAATTGTATTGCAGAAGCCATGTTATCAACATTTAGAAAATTCATGTAAACCTAACTTTACTTGGAAAGTAGCTCTAGAAATAGGAAAGAAAGCATTGCAAATGAATCATACAACTTACTTTATATCCGGTTACTTCTGATTCATTCTCCATTGCTTTAACTTGTTCCCAGTTAAGTAACACTTTAGTGTCTGTAGCATTCCAAACAACATTTCCCGGTGGCTGACTAGGCGCTTGAAAATCAAAATGAGAAATTAAAACAAATTTGAGAGTGAAGTGATATTTTCCATGAGCGCTCATAAATGACGCACATAGGAGGCTAGCAGCGATTGAGTAATATCTACTGGGTAATGCATAAATAAAGACATAACCAGAAGAAATAGAAGAGTGGTTAAATTGCATTTCATAATGGCATTTCAATTAAATTGTGAGATAATTCATTTTACCATATTCATCATATTCTTTAGAGAAATCATGCTGAGTGGAGATTAGGAAATACCTTTATTCACCACTAGGGGGATGCTTGGTTTTGGGCAGGCCCAGCGGTCTGTCTTGACACTTACAGAAGCTAAGAGAAATTGCCAAATGAGCAGATTAAAGTTTCAAGAAATGAAGCATAGATGATTTTAAAGCCAGTCTTGTATGATGATATGGGCAGAATGTGAGGCAATCAAAAATAAGGATTATTTAGATTTATTCTCATGAAGCCATAGCTACACACATGAAGTATTACAGCCCATAGACTATATTTTGAAGCCTTCATTTTCCAAGTTTAAATCATTTTTTTGAGAAAAATAAGGCAGAATATTTAAAAAGTGAATGAGAATTCCATTAGAGAATTAATGAAAGTCTCTGATGTTTATAAACTTGGATTAATAATTGAGTTTCCTTTCATGAATAGCAGCTAGCACATTCATGCTTAGAGGGCTAGTAGCCTTGTCAACAACAACACAAAGGACATTGAATATTTTGTTTTTTGTCAATCACAAATAACAACAGAATATTATTCATTTGGCAATAGCATCATAATGGCCCAAACAGTCCTAAAATATGTTCTGCTTGTGGATTTAACCATAGCATGTGATTCGGTTAAGTTAATTTGTAGTGGGAAAATGATATAAAAGATTGGCTATCTGGAGAAATTTCTAAACATCATTGACTCAGACCATGCAGGAAAGACGGCTAGAATTACAGATGGAAAGAGTTCTCAGACGCATTTACGTGACTAATGGCACCAAACAAGATTGCATTTCCTGTAGCTTCTTTTGCTTGATGTCTGCTCCTTAATATTACTCTATGGTACTTTAAAAATCTTGTGATTCAGTATCACCAATGAAGTTACGTCATCTCAGAGTATTGCCTTCCAGCAGTCAGGGTGCTTGGAAATTCAGCCCAAAGCTGGTGGTAAACTCCATTTAAGGCTAAATACCGACACAGGACAGAAACTCAGCAAGTGTCTGGTGTGGCACCGCGGGGGGGTTAATGCATGGGACTGCAAAGTCGCTTTGAACTGTAAGTCTGTCAGTTCAAGCTCTCTATCTGCTCCTCACAAACCCTATTCAGGGTTGCTACAGGTCAGACCAGACTCAGTACTCAGTGGCACTTAACAACAACAACAACCATAAGTAAAGATGAAAGGAACTTTGAAGAAAGAGTTTAACAGGGCATGAAACTGTTAAGAGACAATCAGTCCAAAGGATTCAATCTGCTGCAGGTAAAGGGGTCCTCATTGTGTGATGCTATTGGATAAGAAATGGCCTGCTAATTACTATGTGAGTGGTTTAAACCCACCAGTTGCTCCTCTGAAACCTTACAGAGGGTAACTATGAGTCAGAAGCTACTTGACAGCACTTAACAACAACAAAGAGTATTCACACTACAGTGCTTACTACTGAAGTACTTACTAATTCTTCTGTTGGCTCAATCCCAATCCTAGGAATACCTAACTGTGAGAAGAGTTTCCCCAGTTCTCTGACTCCTGTCAGTATTCCTACAGCACTATCCAGCACAGGCCTTTCATGCAGCTCAGACACCACACTTCAGCGCTGTCTGTGCTCCTGCAAGCTTCAGAAAATTTCAATACACTTGGTTAAATTGTTGTTGTTGTTGTCAGGTCAGGTGCCATCGAGTCAGAACCGACTCATAGCGACCCCATGTACAGCAGAACGAAACAATGTCCTATCCTGGGCCAACCTCACTACCGTTGCCACACTTGAGTCCATCAATGATGCCACATGGCCAATCCATCTCCTTAGGGGTCTTCCTCTTTTTCTCTGACCCTCCATCTTACCCAGCATGACATCCTTCTCCAACGGTTGTTTCCTCCGGACAATATGTCCAAAGTAGGAGAGACGAAGCTTAGCCATCCTGGCCTCCAAGGAGCACTCTGGCTGCACTTCTTCCAAAACAGATCTATTGGTTCTTTTGGTAGTCCATGGCACTTTCAGTATTCTCCTCCAACACCACAACTCAAAGGCATCAATTCTTCTCCGATCTTGGTTAAATTGTTGTTGCTAAGTGCCGTGGAGTCGGTTCCGACTCATAGCAACCCTACACAGGGTTTCCGAGGCTGTAAATCTTTACAGGAGCAGACCGCCTCATCTTTCTCCCGTGGACCCGCTGGTAGTTTCGAACTGCTGACCTTGCGGCTCACAGCCCGATTCGTAACCACTATGCTACCAGAGCTCCACCTTTAAATCAACTGCAGAAGAAATGACTACAATGTAATTTGGGATTTTGTCTAGCATGAGTCCCAAAATAGAGGAGCTGAATGAGTTAAGTCTGAAATGAATCCTTTTGGAAAAGACAAAAAAATAACCTTGGACGAACTTGAAAAACACTGTTGTTGTTAAAGTTTGGTAGAGTAGGTTCCAATCGATTGTTTTCGTTGTTGTTAGGTGCCAGCAAGTCACGACAACTCATAGCAACCTTATGCACAACAGAACAAGACATTGCCCAGTCCTGTGCCAATCCACCTGATTGGGAGTCTTCCTTATTTTCACTGACATTCCACTCTACCAAGCATGATGTCCTTCTTAGGCATTGGTCCCACCTAACAATATGTTCGAAGTATGAGAGATGAAGTGTTGCCATCCTGGCTTCTAGGGAGCACTCTGACTGTACTTCTTCCAACACAGATTTGTTTATTCTTTTGGCAACTGATGGTAATTTTAATATTCTCCTCCAACTTTCATGCATAGAAGGTTACATAAAATACCATAGCTTGGGTCAGGTACACTGTAGGCCTCAAACTGACATCTTTTTTGTAATTATTGCAATGAAATTATGAGAGTAAAACTGATGTTCTCCTACAGAAGCCATCACTCAATTCACAATAAACTTAGAACCTTTCCCCCCGCTCCAAAAAGACTGACATCTTTGCTCTTCAACACTTTAAAGAGGTCTTGTGCAGCAATACATTGTTTGATATCTTACTGCTGTTCACTGAGTGTTGATAGTTGATCTGAGCAAAATGAAGTATTTGACAACGTCAGTCTTCTCTCCATTTATATGGATGTTGCTTACTGGTCCAGTGGTGAGGATTTTTGTTTTCTTTACATTGGGATGCAATCCATACCAAAGGCTGTGGTCTTTGATGTTCATCATTATGTATTTTAAATCCTACTTTCAGCAAGCAAGGTTGTATCATCTGCATATTGCAGGCTGTTAATGAGTCTTCCTTCAATCCTGAGGCCATGTTTTTCTTCATATAACCCAGCTTCCTGGATTATTTGCTCAGGATACAGGTTGAATAAGTATGGTGAACGAACACAACCCTGGTGCACACGTTTCCTAATTTCAAACCATTGAGTTTACTCTTATTCTGTTCAAACAACTGCCTCTTGGTCTATGTAAAGGTTCCTCATGAGTACAATTCAGTGTTCCAGAATACTCCACAAAGTTGTCCGTAGCTTGTCATGATCCACACAGTTGAAAGCCTTTGCATAGTCAGCAAATCACAGGTAAACATCTTTCTGATATTCTCTGCTTTCAGCCGTGATCCATCAGATATCAGCAATCATATCCCTCATGCCATGTCCTCATCTGAATCTGGCTTGAATCTCTGACAGTTCCCTGTCAATGTACTGTTGCAGCCGTTTTTGAATTATCTTTAGCAAAATTGTACTTGCATGGGCTATTAATGATATTGCCTGATGATTTCTGTATTCCGTTGGGTCACCTCTTTTGGAATAGG